AACTGTCTCTAGTCCACTCTGCCCTCCCTTTACCAGCATGCAGAGTAAGGAGCTACAAACAAAATTTTATGCTTTAGCCCTTTAAAAGGCCTTCTGAATCTCCAGCCATCTCTCCCTGTGACTAGAACCCATGTTCTTTTCACAGCTGAATGTTAACTGGGTTTCTTTCTGGCTCTGGCGCTGTAGGCTGAGGAGCCCAACTTTGGGTTTAGACCTCACACTTTTCAGGGGGAACCCCCTGGCCCCTGAAATATCCCTCTGGCTCTTCAGCTGTTATTGTGGGAGCCCAGCCAGCCCTCTCACATTTCCTCACACTCCCTACCAGTCATGTTGCAGTGACATGTTTTCTCCTGTCTGTCTGTGATTGTAAGGCTTTTCTCTAGCTAGTGTTCAGTTGGTTATGCAAGATGATTTCTTTAAAATTTAGTTGTAATTCAAGATTGGTCCAGGGAGGAGGTTAGTGTTGCTTCCACTTACCCTTCCACCATCTTGGATCCAGGATCAATAGGTTTGTAATTATTGCAATTTTATTATTTATTTTTGCACTCCCCCCCCCATTATTTTGTTCTAGAAGAAGTCTCAACATTTCTTGTGCTACTGGTTTGGTGTCAATGAACTCCTTTAGTTTTTCATCTCTGGGAAGCTCTTTACCTCACCTTTGATTCTAAATGATAGTGTTACTGGGTAGAAGAAATCTTGGTTGTATTTCCTTGTTTTTTATCAGTTTGAATATTTTGTGCCCATCTCTTCTGGCCAGAAATTTTTTTTGTTGGGAAGTCAGCTGACAATGTCATGGGAACTATCTTGTAGTTAATTGCTTTTCTCTTGCTGCTTTAAAGATGGTCTCTTTGTATTTAACTTTTGCCATTTTAATTATGATGTGCCTTCATCTGGGCCTCTTTGGATTCATCTTGCTTGGGACTCTCTATGTTTCCTGGACTTGTATGTCTATTTCCTTTACCAGTTTAGGGAAGGAAGATTTCCATCATTACTTATTCAAATAGGTTTTCAATCTCTTGCTCTTTCTTCTCTTTCTGGTACCCCTATGATGTGAATGTTAACATTTAACGTTGTCCAAGAGGTTCCTAAAATGATTATCATATTTTTAAGTATATATTTATCAATTGTGCTATTACAGTTTTCCCAATATTTCCCCTTTATCCCTCTTCCAGCCTGCACCCCCAACCCTCCAGCATTCCCCCATTAGTTTATGTCCATGGGTTGTACATATATGTCATTCTTAACCTCCCTCCACCTATTTTATGTCTACCAATTATGCTTCTTATTCCCTGTACCTTTCCCGCTCATGCTTTACCTCCCATCTTTCCACCCCTTCCCCACTGAAAACCCTCCATGTGATGTCTATTTCTCTGATTATGTTCCTGTTCTAGTTGTTTGCTTAGTTTTTGTTTTATTTTTGTTGTTGTTTTAGGTTCAGTTGTTGATAGTTGTGTGTTTGTTGTCATTTTACTGTTCACAGGTTTTGATCTTCTTCTATTTCTTAGATAACCCCCTTTAACATTTCATATAATAAGGGCTTGGTGATGATGAACTCCTTTAACTTGACCTTATCTAGAAAGCACTTTATCTGCCCTTCTGTTCTAAACGATAGCTTTGCTGGATAGCTTTTCTGGATCTTGGATGAAGGTCCTTGTCTTTCATGACTTTGAGTTCTTATTTCTAGCCCCGTCTTGCCTGTAAAGTTTCTTTTAAGAAAAAGCTAATTAGCTGATAGCCTTATGGGCACTCCTTTGTAGCCAACTCTCTCCTTTGCTGCTTTTAAGATTCTCTCTTTATCTGTAATCTTGGGTAACTTAATGAGGATGTGCCTTGCTGTGTTCCTCTTTGGGTCCAATCTCTTTGGGACTCCCTAGGCTTCCTGGACTTCCCGGAAGTCTATTTTCTTCACGAAAATGGGAAAGTTTTCCTTCATTATTTGTTCAAATAAGTTTTCAACTTCCTACTCTTTCTCTTCTACTTCTGGCACCCCTATGATTTGGATATTGGAACATTTGAAGTTGTCCCAGTGGTTCCTTAGCCTCTCCTCATTTAAAAAAAATTCTTGTTTCTTCATTCTGTTCTGGTTGGATGTTGATTTCTTCCTTTTGTTCCAAATCATTGATTTGAGTCCTAGTTTCTTTGCCTTCACTGTTGGTTCTCTGTATATTTTGCTTTATTTCACTTTGGGTAGCCTTCATTTCTTTCTTAATTTTGCAACTGAGCTCAGTCAGTTCTGTGAGCATTCTGATTACCTGTGTTTTGAACTCCGCATGAAATAGGTTGTCTATTTCTTCATCTCCTAGCTCTTTTTCTGAAGTTTTGATCTGTTCTTTCATTTGGGCCATATTTCTTTGGCTCAGTGCACCTGTTTTGTTGTTGTTGTTGTTTTGTAAGGGGGCAGGGCCTGATGTATTCACCAGGGCAGGGCAACCCTTTTTGCTGTGTTGTGATGCTGTCTGTAAAGGAGGGGTCAGAGAGGGAACAATGTGGCTTGCTTGCTCTGCTCTAGCTCCACTTTCCAACAAACTCATGTGAGACTGGGAGTTTCTCCCACTGTGGCAACCCCCACAGTAGTTTACAGCTAGCTTTGAGTCTTTAGTTTCTCATTCAGCCAGCCCTGCCTTGCCTGCACAGTCTGCCATCTTGCTGCAAGTCCTCTTTGCCCCTGGTACTGGTCTGGTTGACTGTTTCTTTAATTCCTTTGTTGTCAGAGTTCCATGCAGTTTGATTTTCTGGCACTTCTGTTTTTTTTATTGTTTTTAAATTTGTTGTTATCCTTCTTTTGGCTTTGTGAGAAAGCAAAGCATTTCTACCTACACCTTCATCTTGGCCGGAACTCTCTGATTCTCACATTTTAATTTTTAAAAAGATTTTATTTAGTATTTTTTGTTTTCTTGTTTGCTTTTAGAGAGAGGGGAAGGGAGGGAGAAAGAGAGGGAGAGAACATCAATGTGTGGTTGCTTCTCACATGCCCCTGGGGATGTGAGACTGGGGACCTGGCCCACAACCCAGGCATGTGCCCTAACTGGAAATCGAACCAGTGACCCTTTGGTTCACAGGCCAACATTCAGTCCACTGAGCCACCAGCCAGGGCCAATTCTCATATTTTTAAATCTTTTTGTTTTTGCTATTTCTATTAGGTGTTTTCTGCTACCTTGTCTTCAAAATCACTGATTTCATCCACCTAATCCCTTGTTGATTCTATTTAATGTATTCTTCATTTCAGTTATTGTATTTTTCATTTCTGACTTTTAAAAATGTTTTCTATCTCTTTTTGTAAGTTCTCACTGAGTTCATGTATTCTTTCCGTAAATTCACTAAGCATTCTTTTAATTGGTGTTTTGAACACTATATCTGGTAGAATGTTTCCTCCATTTCATTTAGTGCTTTTCTGGAGTTTTGTCCTGTTATTTCTTTTTTGACATGTTTCTTTGTCTCCTCTTTCTGGCTGCCTCCCTGTGTTAGTTTCTATGTATTAAATTGTGGATCTGCTACACCTGCAAATGTTGTCAGGGAGACCTTATGTAGTAGATATTCTGTTGGGCCCAGTGGTACAGTCCCCCTGGTCACCCAAGCTGGGTGCTCCAGGGATATCCTTTCTGTAAGTCATGTGTGGCCTCTGGTGGTAGTTGAGCCATGATTGCTGTTCACACATCAGTGGGTAGGACTGATCTTCAGACTGACTGGCTGAGAATGACTACAGTGGATAAGCTATTGTTAGTGGGCTGATTTTATGAAGCAGAATTTGCATTATTGGAGCTCTGGTGCCTGTCAAGTCCATCCTTTGATTGTGTCATTTTTTTTTAGCTAATTGGGTGGTAGTCTTATGTGGCTTGAAGCTGGCCACTGGGTGTGTTGGTTCTGGGACCTCTTGAGAGTGTCTCTGGTGAAGGCCAAGGTCATCCAATGCATGTGCCTAGCCTTCAGCCACCTGGTAGGAGGTACAAAGTGATCTGAGATTGGTAGCTTCTTGTGCTTATTGTGGAGGTACTTGGGAGAGGCTGTGCTGTGAACTGAGGTTGGCTGCTACTAGTACTAGGCTTGGGCATACTCAGCAAGAGGAACAGGACATGCCAAAATTAGGTGCTGCTTGTTTGGGGTTTGTGGACCTTTGATAGATTTCAGCTAAAGTCTGCAGTGTAGGCTCAGGCCAACCCCTTATGAGGAACACCTGCTGAAAGATGTTCAGGCTGTTGCTCAAATTGTGTGTGGTGGGGTCTCAGGGAATCAAGAGGGTGGAGTGAGCAATGTTTGCCAGGTTGATGGATCTCAGACTTAGAGCCCACCTGCATCTGCAGACTGGGTCAGGGGTGGACGTATACAATAACTTCACTACATTTTCAGTGGAATATGGTATTATCCCCATTTTGTATGTGAAGAAAGTAAGACCAAGAGAAGATGAGAAGTAAACTTGTTACTCAAGTTTTGAGGTCTAGTAAGTGGTAAGATTAGACCTGGAACCCAAATCTCTAAAGTCCTTGTCCAGAGAGAAAGTCAGAAAGGAAATGATTGCTACACAACTCAGCTAAGGTACTTTATCATTTTCTGGAATATATGGGATCTTCCAGAAATAAGGTTCTTGACTTTGTGTTATATAGAGTCACCTAAGGTCACATAGGTGAAAAGAGCAATGCTATAGCACAGATATTGTAGGATTGGTAGGGCCCCGTGACACCTCATTATGTTAGGTGAGTGTTTATATCTACCCCAAAGAGAGAAATAAAACCTGGTAATAAGTCCTAGGCTCTTTTTGTTGTACTTACTCAATCTGGGAAACATGTGGCAAAAGGAAGTACAGAAAAGGTACAATGACGTGGTGTTTTCCTGAGCATGGGTGGTGGTGGTGGTGAACAAGGACCATTAATAGCAGTATCTCTTCCAATCAGCTAGAAAATCCACTGCTTTCCAGGATCTGTATTTCTAAAAAGCTGCTTTTCTTATTAACTATTACTTAACGGTACTTCAGTACCAGCTATTAATCTGTGAACTTTATGTTTTAGGAGCCTTGTTGACACTGTTTATGCCTTGAAGGATGAGGTGAAAGAACTGAAACAGGTAATGAAATATAGAAGTCTTTATTTCCAGATCATAACAAGACTAATCCCTTTTCTCGTCACACACTAGTAGATACTCTCAGGAAAGGTCTAGGACCAAAGTGGTGAGGTGAGAATTTTTATCTTCCTTGTGTCTTCAAGGTGGGTTTTGTTGATTTTACCATGTGGCTTTGGGATGAAACTTCTAAGGCTTGCTTATATACATATTTAACGATTTACAATAGTGTACCAAACTTAGTTACAACTTTCATGCTTCCTAACATCTGTAAACAGAATTTATGAAAAGAATAAGTCATTTGTGAACATGTAAGTTAACCAGAATCATAAATTATAATTTGTGGGATCCTGTGCAGATACAATCCAGTGTTTAATGATGTATACATTTCCTTGTTTTTGAGGACTGACTATATCTGGTGACAGGGTAAAGAACAGGTTGGAAGTGAGGGAGATCAGATGCTGGAAGACCACTTACGAGGTTATTACAGACTCAGGGAAGACATGATGAAGTCCTAACCTAAGGCAGGGCTACTGAGGCTGCAGAGGAGGAAAATGAATATGAAGGAAGGCACACTGCAGAATTAGAGCATGTGGAAAATGATGGTGTGATGTTAGGATTAAGAAAGATCCAGGGATTAAAGATGAAGTTTATTACATTGGTATCTAGCTTGATATGGTGATGTCCTTCATAGGGATCACCAATCACAAGAGGAAGAGAAGTTTGGGGGGACAGAGATAGACTTGACTTTGGGACATAATATGTTTAAGGAGCCTGTAACACATGTAAGGGGAAATGCCAATTTGACATTGGGATCTCTAGGTCTAGTTCTCACAAGACAAGATGAGGTAAGTATCAGAGAGATTTCAGAGGTTTCTTAATAGATACTTGATTTGAAAGAGACTAGACACTAAACAAAAAATATTAAATTAGCAGAGGGCCAGGACCAGAGCCTTAAAGAATGCTTCAAAGAAGCATTTAAAATAAGTTTTTCAAAGAAGATTGCAAAAGATTGGTTAGAGAGAGGTAGGAAATCAGGAGGCTGCCTTGTGTTAGGAGCTAAGGGAGAAGAGTTTGACAAAGAAAAGTGTAATTAATAGTGAAGGCTGCCAAGAGGATGAGCAGTAGGAACCCAGAGAAGGGGTTCCTTTGTTTGGTAATCAAGTCTTTTCCATCATAGGAGAACAAGAGAATGAAGCAATGCCTGGAAGAAGAATTGAAATCAAGAAGGGACCTAGAAAAGTTGGTCCGGAGGTTGTTGAAGCAAACTGATGAGTGTATTCGGGCTGATTCCAGTAGCAAGACCTCCATTCTTCCATAACATCACTGTGCACCTGGGCAGAGTGTGCCTTCAGTGCTTCTTGAAATGTCCAGCTGAATGATTTGATTCAGTTTGCTTACTTCTTTGTTTTTTTATTTTGTATTTGAATGAACTCCCTTCCCTCTGTTTGCTTGAGTGTTTGTTGTTTGGATATTGGTTGGTTGGTTACATTTTTTTTCAACAGGGGTAAAAGCAAGAGATGGTTGTAGAAGTCTCCTTAGTGTTTTTTCCATTCAGTAACAAAAGGAAAATTAATGTAGGCAAATGACTTAAGTGGTCTTCTGATGGCCTTCAATTCATAGTGCCTCTTTGACAAAAATTACTCTTTTGGCGCTGGCTGCTATCCCAAAGCAGCTGTCCATGACTTATTAAAGGTGAACTTGACTATCCCCAGTGCTTTCCTGTACCTGGAAGCCCCTCAGTACCTAATTTACTGATGGCAAAGGTTTTTGAGCTATGACTAGAGTAGAGCAAAAGACAAACACATTAACACAGTGATTCAACTGCTCTACCCTGGACCATCATGTGCCACCCCTCAATGCATACTGTTTTTTATTAATACCTGATGTACTCTATAAGATCAAGAAGACAGTAGCACCCTTATTTCTTTTGTGTTGGTTTACATTTTAACTCTGTGGGTCAGAATCTCTGATCATTCTTGCCAACACCAAATTCATTAGCAAATTGCACTAGACAGTACTTTCAGCAGCAGAGTTGACAACCTCTTCTCCAGTACATAATAGGATTTTCCTCTAGCCTTCTGCTAAGTGCACTAGTTTTATATTTCCCCAGTGCTTTTAACCAACCATACCACGTGATGTGTAAACTAGTATGTGTGTGCTTTGCTTACTTTTTAAAAATGTAGACTGTGAGAAGGTACTTTATTCACATTGCATATTCAAATTGCAATTTATCATCTTTAAGACAATCTGTCACTGAGGAGATATTGTGCCCTAGTAGACACAGCTTTAATTCAGTTTATTGCTCTCCCATATATGCTATGAGGCACTGTAATGTTCATCAGCCCCTAAGCATTATTTGTAGAAATGTGCTGTTGTTCCAGTTTGTATATCCAGACCAAAAAAAAAAGGGCCCCTCTAGTAGCTGTGTGCTGGCTACTAGTGAAGCTGATTATTTGGAACTGGTTTACTCAAGTTGATCATTAAATCAAACCATTGCCTTTGTAAGTAAGTCAGAAATTAGAGATGTGAAAAACCAGATTTAGAAGATGGTTGCAGAAGAGCAGCAAACATCCAAATTCCATTCAGTTGAAAGTCAGCCAGAAGTTTTCTTTCTCAAAAAGGTGAAATGTGGCTGTGTGGGGAAGATCACTGGAAAGAGAGGCAAAGGGCCAGTGGACTGATCAAATTTCTTTTCCAGATACATTGGATGGGTGCCTATAAACATGGGTTTTGCAAATATTGTTTAGGAACCAAACTTGAAGCTTAAACTGCTCCTCAGCTTGCTAAGCCTTTTTTCTTTCTAGTGCTGGGGGGTATGAAGTTCTTATTGCTACATGGTACAGTGCTGTTTCCTTGCCGTAAAGCAGAAATTATACTATTCACAGAAATTAGCCTATTCTTACAGTCCAGCATCAGCCAACAACACACAGCTATCTTTGGAAGCTGAAGAATGAAGATTTCTAGGAATTGGCTGTTGTTCTGTATTTAAGCACAGCACTATAGATAAGCCATCCGCCACCTAGAAATTAAAAACAACACAGATCTTAGCATTTGCTCTGTCTGTGGTTAATCAATGGCTTGCAATAAATGTGTGAACTATGTCCATAGGAAACAGTTCTGCAATTACAAAATACTTTAGTTGATAAGGTATAGCTTCAAGTATTGAAAGGTCTTTATTTTAGAGTGACATGTATATATACATGTTTTGGCGACTTGGCTTTTCTGATGAGAGGCTCTCAGTACTCTGGGTAATGAAGCTTGGGCAGAGTGGTGTCCACACTCACACACTAAACAATAATATAAAGGAAATGAAGCCATGTTAACCCAAGAGCAGTGTCTCCATAGTTGTGTTGTTTACAAAACTCTACAAATGGGTTTCTGTTACCCTGTAATTAAACTATTGCCCTTAGAGGCATTTCAGTTCTTCTTCTGTCATGTTCCTTCTTACACAGGCTCAAATTTTCTAACTTGTTTTTATTTTGAAGACTTTTAAAATGGAAATTTTCAATAAATAAGAATAACAATCCTTTATAAAATTAGTGCTGTGTTTCTTTTTATATCATTTAATTAATTAATTTTGCTAGCTGGTATACAGAAAGATTTCTCGTGTTATATCAGCTTCCTTTTCTATTTCCCTCGTCATCAGGTGCCATAGCCAGCTTTGATGCTTTTTACTCAGGGAAGATGATATTTGCTCCCGACTTTATACAAATAATACATGCCATGAGGCAGAACCTTCACACCTCCCCTTCTGGCCCCAACCTATACACTGTCTGTATTTATTCTCTCCATTTTCCTTCCAGTGCTAGAGAGATATCTGTTTTCCTAATCGAGCTTATTCTCCATCCTTCCTTACATGTTGCAGGATTTTGTCAATTGGTGATATCTTATATTTTGACCACAGTTGGAATGTTGGTATCAGGAGTCAGGAAAAATGTATTTGCTCCCTTTGAAGATAGACAATCTGGATATTATCTATTCCTACTCAGCATCCATTCCTACCCTTTTAAAAAATATTTCATTTATTTAATTTTAGAGGGGAAGGGAAAGAGATAGAGAGGGAAAGAAACATCCAAGTGTGGTTGCCTCTCACACACCCCCTACTGGGAACCTGGCCCACAACCCAGGCATGTGCCCTGAGTGGAAATCAAACCAGCAACCCTTTGGTTCTCAAGCTGGTGCTAAATCCACTGAGCCACACCAACCAGGGCCTATTTTTGCCCTTTTTATGCTCCTCTTGGAAGACTACAAAAAAAATACATATTCCAGACTCCCTTGCAGCTAAGGTTTAGGATACAAAGTGGGTTCTGATACATTTTCAGTTCTGGCAATGAGATGCTTTTGCACAATATTTAAAAGACTTAAGTTAGGTAGAGGATATCTTCCTGGGACTTGGCAACTGGCAGGCTTTTCCAAGGATATGTTTGTGGTTCCCATACTCCCCATTCCAGTGTGTGTACTTATAGCTTTTTGGGTGAGAAACTGTAGTGGTTGCAGTGCTGATGATAGGAGCAGCAGCGCCTTTCTAAACTAGACTTGGCTCATAACTGCAATGATATGACCTCAAAGCCATTAGTCCAATGGCAGACCCCTAACTTCTGTTTCTGTAGCCAACAATTTTGTAGACACCTCATATTACTTTTCTGCTGAGATATCTTTAGCAATTTATTTTTCTTATTCTGAAGCAATAGTTGTAACACTACAACTCTTGTACATCAGGCTCTGTAGTGAGTATTTTACATGGTTAAGCTCATGTACTCAACCCTATGAGGTATTCACTGTTGTTAACCCTATCTTATAAATGAACTGAGGCACAGATGTTAAACAAAATGCTAGTATGTATGGAGCTAGAATTTGAAATCCTGGTTTGTCTGGCTATCATATCCATTTTCTTTCTTTTTCTCTTTCTCTCTTTCTCTTTCTTTCTTTCTTTCTTTCTTTCTTTCTTTCTTTCTTTCTTTCTCTCTTCTCTCTTCTCTCTCTCTCTCTCTCTCTCTCTCTCTCTCTCTCTCTCTCTTTCTTTTACTATATACTAACTCCTTATCAGATATATCATTGACAAATATGTTCTTCCATTCAGTGGGTTGTCTTTCCATTTTTCTTTCTTATTGTTTATTCTATTAGTTGTCTCAATTTTTTTCCTTTTTCTCCCCTCTACTCGGCCCACCCCTCTCCCCTACAGTCAATCCCCTCTCCATTGTCTTTGTCCATGAATCATTTGTATATATTCCTTAACTAATCCCTTCCCCTTCTTCCTTCATTCCCCTCTCCTTTCTCCCCTCCTACAGCTATTAGTCTGTTCCATGCTTCCATGTCTCTGATTATATTTTTCTCATTAGTTTATTTTGTTCATTAGATTCAAGTTATAAGTGAGGTCATATGGCATTTGTCTTTTGCCAAATGGTCAATTTCACTTAGCATAATAGCTTCCCGTTCCATACATGCTGTTGTGAAGGTAGGAGTTCTTTCTTTCTGCTGCAGAGTATTCCATTGTATAAATGTGCCACAGGGGTGTTTTTTGTTATTGTTTGTTTTATTTCTACCATTTGTATTTGGTTGTGTTGAGGCTAGCATTGCAATAAACAAGCTAAAAGTACTTACATTGGACTCATTTTCAGTAACTGTCATTTACAGGAATGTACTGGAAATGGCACTAAAATTTTAAAGAAAAGTTATGGTAACCTGGCATGGTCATCATACAGAAAAATGACATTTTAGATGTAAAAAAAGGAAAACTTCCTGGAAGTGTTACATATATTAAGGAGCATCCCTACTCTGTATGTGACAGATTCATATCATGGGGGCTGTTTTTCCCCAAACGATGGTAAAAGATGTGAATTTGTGAAAGAACGAGAATGAAAACAAAAAAGAAAATGTGTCTCACAGTGTGTAAGCAAGACAACGCCTGCTGCCCAGGATGAGCACACCTGCAGCCTTCCCCTTTGGTCCACGTAGTCAGGACTGAAGCGTCAGGACCAGAGTGTTTCAAAAGTCATTCCCTATGCATGGCCAACCTACTGAACCTTTCCCCTTGGAAGCAGCTGAGGCACACTGCCTTTCAGTTCTGGGCACTGGAGCCCTCCTGGTATCTGGCTACAGTCTTCCCAAGGCAAGTGAAAGTGATCTATAGCCACAGGTGAGCTCAAGAGGGTAGAAGGTGCCCCAGACCAGAGGGAGATCGGTGGTGATGTCTGGACAGGAAGCCTCAAAAACTGCAGTACCCACGACTCACAGTGTGGACGACAGCCCCCAGGGAGCCTTTGAAGCCAACAGCCTCTGTCAGGGCAACAGGAGGTCTGAGAATCCACCATGGTGCATGGAACCAGTGGACAGAGACATGCTCTGCCTGGCTCCCACTGTCCTCACCTGGAGGGCCAGATGCTTTTCCTACTGCCTGATCACACAGGTGACTCTTTATGCCCAATGCTGGACAGATGCTCCACG